AAGATAATTATCTCAGCCACGTATCTTCGATCTTCAAGCAGGGTATATATACAACTCCTTAGGGTGGAGTCTTCTCCAAGTTCTTCCTTTCCTTTTAGGAGTCAATTTCCTTCTCAATAGATTGCTTTCTGATTTGGACGACATCCTTCATGTAAGGTAAGTTTCCTTGATGTATAAATCGTGCATGTGATTTGGAGATCTTCAGAATTGAACTTCCAATGGAAATCTTTCCTTCCAGAATCTGGTAAGAACATGACTTTCCAAAAATAGCCGATCTTCCAAATCTTCAAAGATCTTGTGGTGAATCTTTCCAAATCCTCCTTAGATCTTCTCATGAACGTCCAGATCTCTTCTTGTATGTAAAGCTCATCCTTTCATAGTCCTTGCCACCTATTCCTTGTCCTACAAGCAAAAGAGAACTAATTATGGCATGTGGCATATATGGTAAGTAAATATATAAGATATATATTATGTAATCCTTCTCCTAAAGGATTAGGATTCCATAATACATACTACAATGAATACATACCATATATTATTAATAATAAATATTAGGAACTTAATTAAATCACAAGTAAATAAATAGAAAAACTTCCCTTTAATTTATTTTGCTTGCTTAACAAGAAATCTTCTAGAAAACACTTAGGTTTGTCGGACATGATGCCAAACCAATGTTCTTACATTTCTAAGACAAATATTATTATCAATGCTAAACTCATGTGTTGTTTACTCCAATAAAATGATGATATGAATAATGCAACAAAGCATCTGTATATTTACAGACCTTTTCACGTCTCAACAAATCTTAATCGAATTCACTGTTTTTCAAAAGGAAAAAAATAATAAATAACCAATCTTTTGGTCACTATTTTCTCACACAAGATGTTGTTTCTTAAGAACATAATTAAGGCCTGTTTTTATTCGATTATATATAAACCAATCTTGTCATGTTTTGATATATATATATATATATATATATATATAGGGTTGGGTTCACATGAGAATGGTGTTTACTGAAATAAATGAAAATAAATTATAGTCATTAGATCAGATGATCTAATGGGTAAAAATTATATCCTCATTAAGGGTATTGTTGTGCACAAATTGTTATTTTTACCGAGTACCGAATCGAAAGATTCGTTCCCGGGTCGATCTCACGAGGAAGGATGTTCGGAATTTAGCTTCGATATTGATAACACACAAAAAGAAAATAAATCCTGAACACTCTAATCAAATAGCAGATTGGATGAATTGATAACTAAGAAATAAATAAAAATGATAATCTACCTAAAAATATAAACGAAATGAAGATGGAGAAGCTAGGGAATCAGGGACAATTAATTCAAGTTCTATTTGCAAAATCGGGACATTGATCATTTTATTTCAGATTGACACTCTCGCTTAAACATCTAGCGGTTCTCTCCCAATAACTCTTCGTAACAAGGGATTGAACATCGACGAGCAAGCTCGAGCATACAATACACGCCAATCATCCCAATCCCAATAACTTTTCGTAACAAGAGATGGGTCACCGACGAGTACGTATTTCAATCCAAAACATATAGACTATTCAGTTACGAAATCATCTACCTCGTGCAAGCCTAAGTCTACGACTTCTCCCCTTTCGGTTTTAAAAGTCGCTAATTTAGTTAGAAGGTGTTAAATCAACTAACCATAAACAAAGAAAAACCGGAAAAACACACGAAAAACACGAAGAAAACCAAAATAGAGCGAAACAAGAAATAAATTATAAAATGAACTTAAACTCAACTAAACGACCTAAATGAGGGAAAAAGAACGACAAAAAAGATAACGAAAAGCGCAATAAAAATGGGACAAACAGGTAATTTGGACATTACCATTACACTCAACACGACATCATCATGCCACATCATCATCTCCACACACCCAACACACCTTACACACGCCATACCCACATATAACACACGCGCGCTCACACACACACACACACACACTCACACACTCTCACATACGTCATCACCCTCACACGCACATACATAATAATAAAAAGGACACACACACACACACATAGGTACATGAAACCAGAGGCGGACCTACATAAGGGCCCGTAGGGGCACGGGCCCCTACAAAATTTTTTAGTAATATAATATATATATATATATATATATGTTATATGTATAAATGTATTATAATAGACATTAAAAAATACATGTTAATTATTTTGCAAAGTTATTTCAATATAAAAATTAAAAATGAATGTTTAGAATTATTTAACCATCAATAGTATGTTATTTTTTAAGTTGTGGAATTATGTTTATGCTATACTCAACTTCTTGTTTATTTCATTTTCCCTCAAAAAATACATAAAAAAAAAAACAAATATTATACATAAACGTATATACTATATAGGGAGTGGATTGAATGTGTCTCTATTCTTAAACTCAGAATGTGAGACTCTTAAATAGTGATTTAATTGGTTAAATATTGATTTGACTGTTGACCTTCGGCGTTGATCGTTGATCGTAATTTGTGCCCCGGTGCCCTAAGTGTCTGCGTCCGCCCATGATGAAACACACACACACACATAGGTACATGAGACACACACACAAACAGACGTATACTCACACACACCACGGCTGATCCTTTGCCTTCACCGTCCGGCGTCCGCCACCATCAGACAGGCACCTCATGACGGCAACACTATCACAGCGCCGCCCCTCATCTCCGACAGCCACAACCCGATCCCTCCGCCCACAGTCGTCGCCCGCCATTCGACATCTCACGCCGACAACACCATCCCAGCGCTGCTCGTTGCCTCCGACAGCCACAGCTTGATCTCGCTGCCCGCCATCCGACAGACACCTCACGCCGGTAACACCATCCCATGGCCGCCCGTCGCCTCCGACAGTCTCAGCCCGATCTCGCTGCCCGCCATCGCCGGTCCGACATCGTCACCGCCTTCATCTGCCGACAAAATTATCCCATTTGCGTCTGCTAGTGAGTTGTCTCCGGCATGTTGTCCTTCTCTCCGGCCTCCGTCGACGAGCATGGCGCTCCTTCTCTCCTACTCGACGTTGACGAAGTGCGGGGAACGGTGATGGTGCACGGATGTAGGCGGGAGGTGGTTGTGTAGTGCAGGGACTACATTTTAAAATTTTAATAACATTAGGGATTTGGGTACAATTTTCAAACTTTTAATATATTTCAATTGAGTCCATGGGGTAAATGTGTAATTTAAAAAAAAATACATAAAAAATATATTATTGTATATTTTGTATTTTCAGCAAAAAATAAAATAAAATAAAACATTAAAATGTTTCATATAATTTATAATTATAATTTCGAAATATTTTTTTATTATGTTAATAATTTGATTAATAAAAAATAATTTTAAGTGATATACACATCACTAAATATTTCTAAAATTGAAATGCACGTACAAAATTATCCGTTAATTATATTGCACAATAACGCTATATAACCGAATGTTAAATTTAAATATTAAAAAACACTAAAAACATTTTTTATTATAGAATAATAAACTAATACAAATATTTCGGTTAAATAAAAAAGAATGGGTTAATAGATCAAATAAACTAATTATTTCGGTTTGAAATTAGTTTGGGTTGTGACAAATCATTAAAAGATCTTGTGCTTGGAGTGCACCATAGTGTTGCACGAATTGTACTTTAATGACTATCAGATTGCACAATACGACCGAACTATGTAAAGAGTGATATATTTCGTTGTATATAGTTTTTTAGGTTTTATCAACAAATAATAATATAATATATCAAATATAATGCTAAGATATTAAATATATTTTTAGAATACAAACAAAAATTTATTTTGATTATTCAGGTAATAGGATTGACGATAGAATAAACCGATTATGTCGGTTCAATACTAGTTTGGTTTGGTGCGAATCATAAAAAAAAAATGCATATTAAATGCACAATAGTGTTAACAGAGTTGCACGTTCATGGCTAACAAACTGCTACAATAGTGTTAACAGAGTTGTACGTTCATGGCTAACAAACTGCACAATAGCGACCCGAACTGAAATAATTGAATTTCTTTATTTGGAATTTTTTTTATTTTAGTTCGATTAGTTGCATTTATTTTTAAAATAACGTTATTTTATTTCAATATCGACTTTATTTTTTATAATATTCGTAATAATCAACGAACTAACTATATGAAAAATATTATGATTGGGGTAAATTGCACCAAACCCCCCTGTAATATACTAAATCTGCGCGTTTTCCCCTCGTAATTTAGAAATTACGTCAAACCCCCTTCTATTATATATCTTCCTGCATACTCGCCCTTTGATGTTAACACTGTTACTTTACTACTGACGGTGTTACTTTTTTCGTCAAATTTACCATTATACTCTTACTTTATCACTGAATTTACCATTATGCCATTATACCTTTATTTATCACTGAATTTACCATTATGCCATTACTTTATCACTGAATTTACTATTATGCCATTACTGTCAAATAATATATATATTCTAAATTATATATAAAGAAAATAATATACATATATATAACATATATATATAATTTATATATAACGTATTTATATATAATTTATATATAACGTATATATAAATAACGTTTTTAATATATATAATATATATTATATATATAATATATTAATATATATTATATATTTTATATTATATAATATATTATTAATATATCATATATTATATTATATATTATATAATATATATTA